AACTTTAGCTACATCCTTGCCAATACCGAATTCTCCAAAGTAACTTTATAAGAATTGTATAGCAGACAGTAAGTAGAATTATTAATGAAATCTTGGGAGTGAAAGGGATAAATAGCTGCTGATGGTGTAACAGGTGGCCGAGCCTTAACCTTAAACTCCAGTGAGTGACCAAGACAGAAACTCTCCTAACAATGTCAGTACAATATCAAGCAGACAAGAGATGAGAATAAAGAAAAACATCAATTAGCAGATTATTGGTTGATCCAATACCAAATTTTCTGCACTAACATCGTAAGAAATGTATGGCAGACAGTAAGGAGAATTTAAATGAGATCAGCTGGTAACTGGCTTTTATTGAAACTCCTGATCAAGAGATCCACCATCACTTGGTGAGATCTTGTGTTTCTTTGAACAGAATTCAAATGGAACCTGTTGTAAATCTTCCCTCTCTCCTCCCCCCCCAGCAATGAGTGCTCAAGAGCAGATAGGAACTAACATTAGAATTTGTACTTTGAAGAAAATTAAAATTGCACCTGTAACAAATCTTTTCCATCTACCTCCCCACTGCAATGAGTAGTAAGGAACAGATTGAAACTGGTTGAATTGAGAAAAAAGGAAAACAACTCAACAGAATCAATGCTAATTCAAAATATTTTCTTTCACTTTTGTACAGTACTTAGCATAGCATTCCGTGAGACAAAATATTTGATAAACATCAGGCATGTTTTTTTTTTATTATTTATTTGTAGATGGTTGAAGTAAGTGGGAATCACAGCATTCTTTGTGATGAAAAACTCTATGTTCCTCACATTGACAAGAACAAGCCAGTCACCTGGACTTTTACGGTTGAATCAAGTGTAAGTTGCTTCTTTTCATCTTTCAGACTGTGAATTTTAGGATTGACATAAGGATTCCAAAAGAGGCTAAAGACATAAAGGGAAAGCTTTTGAAACAAAGTTAAGCTGCTTAGCACAAGGCTGTGCTCTAAGAAAAATTGAAGGGAGCCCAGTGCTCTGAAACTGTGAAATCCAGGGTGCCCAGCATATGTTTTTTTTTATGAAAAAACTAAGATTCCTGAGTTGCCCAAGAGCAAAAGTAGGGCGTTTGGGGCCACCGGGTGCAGCTAGACCACAGCCCTGTTGCAGGACTGCACTCCAAACCATCTTCTGCTGAACCCTTTGACATCTAAGAGTGACTAACATCTAATTTCTCCTTACAATATCACAGGGGTTTCAATAAGTTTTTGCACAAGTGGGTACTTAAGAGCAACAGGCGGGTACATTTGGCGAAGGCCCAAAGGCCTTCAACCCTATGGGGGTCGGGGGGCATGCTCCCCCGGAAAATTTTGAAGTTTTAGACTCTCGCAAATGCATTTTCAGGTCTTTTTTTGTTGCTTTGTTGTTTCATGTATTTGCTCACAAGTCAACTAATTCAAACAAATTTGAAGAGAATTATGTGACAATAAAGTAGTCACAGTCAACTATTTCTATTGAGGTGCTACTTTCAACACTTTCACAACTGGTATCTTTAAAATTGTCTAAGTTTAATGTAGTTTTAGCTCAGGGTTAATCCTTAAATCCAAAAAAAATTTAATCTATTCTATAGAGAAACATGGTTATATTTTAGTCACATATATCACTATTAAAACACAGAAGCAACTTAAACAGTGTATGTAACTGGGTGTCTTACATCACTTATATCAGTCTGTAGCCACTTAATTTACTACCCGCTACCCGGCTACTATTGAAACCCCCAGATATCACCCCTGATATCACCCCTAAATCACACATTAAGGTCAGGAGAATAAAGGAAATAATCACCAACTACAGAATCTATTGATCATAAACAAATTCTCCTTGTCAACACCTAGGAAATGTATAGAGAATAGTGTGGAGAATATGCATACTGATGTTCAGGTGTAAAGGGTTAACCAAACATTTTTAAAGAAGTTATGAGTTTTGAGTGGTGTTTTAAGAAGGCTCATAGCAAACACTGGAAAACATTTATTACCTCAAACAACTCTCTTGATAAGAAATCTTGACGTCCAATGGTTTTCCAAAATCGTGACCTGAGTTAGACTTTATACACTTAAACAGCCCAAAGTGAATATGTTCTAGAGGTGCTGTACTTGAGGTTCCTTCACAATTGAGTTTTGTAGGTATGTTATGATAACTGTGTAAAATGGTTATCTTCCAGAGTCGTGTCAGACAGTGGTGTAGGTTGCGCCATGTGTTCACACTCAATCCATACCTCCCAGAGTTCAGCATTGTCCAGGTGAATGCTAGTGATCAACCAGGGGTTCCTCTAAGGGCAGAGTGTCAAGAGTGGCAAAACACCACTGGCCGTCCAGTTACAGCATACCAAATCACGTTCCGTTTTGTATCTGCACACTATGGCAGCTTTCAGCAGCGAGTTGTGTTTGATTTTGCTGAGCAGCCATTGGTTTACAGGCAGCTTGAAGTGGTAGTAGCCCCAGAAACTGATTTATTGCATACAATCCAGTATCCTGTTGTCTGTGAAGATGACAGCGAGTTATCCTGGCTTGGAACAGGTCAAGTTGTGCCTTTTGATCCAACTGATATTAAAGGTAGAGTATGCCAATGGTATTATGATACAAAGCAAATATTTGCCTGCTAAACTAAAGGCTGTATTTTTATTCAATTATACACTTACCTAAATGTACTACTGCCTAAGAAATGAATGTAGCTTGTTGTCAGAGTGGAACTGAAATCCAGGACGACCAGATTGTGAGTCTGATGGCCTCACCACTCAACCAGGCCTCATGTTGTGGAGTCAATGATTATATCTTATTAACCAAGCGTAAGGGCCGTACTGGGAGAATATTGGCCCGAGGTCTTGTCAGTATGGACTGAGCGTAGTGAGGTACATCCAAAAAAGACTGAGGGCTGATATTCTTCCAGTACGGTCCCGAGCAAGCTTGGTTAATAAGAGATTTATTATACGACTGGGACACAAGTTCAAATGGGACACAAGTTCAAATGGGACACAAATGCGGTATCATTCGGGACAGTGCCCGGTCCAATACTGAGAGAATATTGGACCGGCAATAGAGCATTTTTATTGGTTGATTTTAGTTCTTGGCCCTCTGACTGCCCGAGTCGTGTAATAAAATGATTTAATGTCCTATCTATTCTTAGAATTGAAATTCTTTTGTTACAGTTTAATTCAAACTAATCACTAGCATACCTCATGATTTTTGTCTTGAAATCTTTACTTTATTCATTAACTCCAAAGATCTGATGGTTAATTCTCCCCTCTAACTGCTACACATTTCCTTGTAAATTACAAGAATTAGGTAACAAGATAACTTTTGCCCTATGAGTTTTAGTATTCTCCTGACCTGTCTCATGCTGGATACTAAGGATGGGTCGATACCGATACCAAATATTCGATACCAGCGATACCGAGGTGGGATCGAAAAATTTCGATGCTGCACGTGACCTACCGCCTTTAAATCTCCTGCTACTAACCGCTGACAAGCAGCCGGAAAGACTCCGGGCTCGAGATCGTGCATATGTACATTTGGGTGTAGTGTTGCGCGGTGTACCGGTCAAAGTGGCGGTTTCTTCCATTCCCTAGTGTAGCTTACAGTTCTTGTTGATGCTACGTCTTGAAACTTTTCGAACTCGCGCTCGGTTGAAGCGACTCGAGGAGCCGTTTGAGGTTTGTGATTTGTGAGTGAGTTAGCGAGGTTCAACCAGAAAAATAAATAAAAATACATGGGAAGAAGGCCCGAGCGGTGATAAACATACAAGACAGAATTAAAGACTTACAAATGTTTTCCTGACTGTAGCGCTGAAGCATAGGTTGAGAGTCTGAGATTGGCAACGAAACGGCGAGAAAGTAATTGAAAAAATATTCGTGAGCTAACAAGCCATACCGTTTGATTAGCTCTAAAAGCATGCATAAATGATAAGCTACAAAAATTCGCACGTAGAATCCTACACCTAGGGCGCTTTCTATTCAACAAAAATCACCGGTTCAAAATCTCGGAACTTTAGCTGGCCGAATGGAACGCGTCCCTTTCGATAATGCGGGAAATTCCATTAAAGAGGGTGCACTCAAAACGTATTCCTAAATTTTCGCAAAATTTTCCCAGAAGTTTTACCGTTCCATTCAATTTAGGACCGGAATTTTTGGTCGAATGGAAAGCGCCCCGTATTCCTAAATTTTCGAAAACTTATCCCGGAACTTTTCCGTTCCATTCGATTTCAGCGCCTCTAGTACAACATTTCACTGTGAAATAGGACCCGATTTTATTAACTGTTGATGTAAAGTCACTCGTACAACGGCAACAAAATCACAACTCACAACAATCCAGGCATGACAAGAACATATCTGGAGTAACGAAAATGAGTCGCAAACTCTGCCTGCTTACTAAAGAAAAACCTCGAGCGAGAAAAGCACTGAAAAAGGTTACATAGTTCTAAAGCATGGCACCCTGTATGGTCCTGTATGCTTGGAGGTCTCTGATGTATCGAGTATTGAAGCGCAGGATCCATAATAAGTCGGGCACCCGTGGTTGGTTATTATCAGTATTATTAGTAAGTAGAAAGATTATACCATTGCGGTCTTCTTCATTTCCTCGGGAAAATTAAAAATGAGTCCCAATAAATTAGATTTTTGTCATGTTTGACTGTCTTGTTGATGCTACTATAGAGACCTGAACAGAAAACCGTGTGAGAGTACCTCGTTTAGTCACTCAGATCACGTGACTTACCATCTATTTCAATGACGTCATAGTATCGGTATCGATATCGATATCGATATCGAAGAAAAAAGTAAATATCGTACTCGGTATCGTATCGATTCGAAAAAGCCGTATCGGCCCATCCTTACTGGATACTGTATGGATATTATAGGGAGAAGTGACCTGTTAATCATTTCTGGGAGTTACAGAGTTAAAGTATGTATACCTTTTTCCAGTCCAAAGGAAATCCGCTTATCATCTCCCACCTGCCCTTGGTACAGCTCTAGAGTTGGGTCATTTTGATCATCTGGAGGAACGCCTAACTCGTGGGATGTACAAGCAGCGTTTGCACGTGCTTCTTCACATCGAAGAATTTGAGCGTCGACGACAGATGACGAGGTAGAAAATTAATAATATTCTTACTTCAGTCATGTTTGTAGAATACCAGTGATAGCCACAACTTTATAAAAAAAAAAATTAATCACATGCTAGATTTGAGTGGTAAAACCATCGAAATTAGCCGAACTGTAGGAACTGTGAGCGTAAGTTAAACGTTTTTTTTTTTACACTTAACACCCTAACATCAATCTGCATATTCTCCCTACTGTTCTCTATACATTTCTTTTAGTACTAGCAAGGAGAATTTGTTTAATAATCAAGAGCTCCTTAGTTGGTGATCATTTTCTTTATTCTTGTGACCTTAATGTGTGACTCGGGTGATATTGTCTGGAGGAATTAGATGCAAGGCACTCTTAATTTTATGTGCTGTTCTATTCCAGGCTCACCATACACTGCACAGATCTTCTTTATTGTACTCAGCCATGTGCTACTGACCCGTCCCAGCTTACTATTGTCCTTCCCGTCCATGAGGAACTCATGGATGATGCGACTCTCCTAATCAAACGTGGAGGCCATGCTCTGGTTAGATTCCAACCACGCGGCATGCAAAATACTCTCCTGTACGAGGTGTTAGTAGAGAGTTTGAAGAAGAATCGTGTATTACTGCGTGCTAGCGCCGCACTAAAGGAAAGGCTCAGATCTAAGGGGCCGCTTCCAGCTTCTGTTTGTTTTCGTTTCGTGGACACATACCAACACATGCACTCAGCAATAGAGAATGTCAATTTAGATGTTGTATTCCCGGCTGTTCCGGAAGGAATTATCGAACAGTGGTCAAATCCCTCGACGTGTGCCAAGGTGCTAAACGAATCTCAAACCTATGCCCTGAAAAAGATGTTGTCACCTCAGCCGGGACCTCCTCTGTTGATTCTGGGTCCATTTGGTACAGGAAAGACCAGGACAATTGCTGAAGCTATAAAGGAACTTATCTCGATTCAGTTAAAAAGCTCAGCGAACTATCGAATTCTTCTTTGTACGCATTCCAATAGCGCAGCCGATCATTACATCAAAAATCATCTCCATCCTTTCCTAACAACCTCAAATATTTCAGCTTCGAGATTCAAACCCTTGCGCATTTGTTGGGAAAATCGTTTTGTTAGCACCGTCTCTGACACAGTGCTTCAATATTGTCTTCTGGATTTGCACAGTGGAAAATTCGCAATGCCTAACATGGATTCACTGATGCAACACAGAGTTGTGGTAACTACTCTTGTCACAGCAGCCTCCCTGGCTAATCTTAATCTGCCCCCTGGATTTTTTAGTCACATCTTTATTGATGAAGCTGCTCAAGCTATGGAAGCAGAAACGATCATCCCGCTGTGCTTTGCAGGACACAATACACAGGTGGTCCTAGCAGGAGATCATCTTCAGGTAATAATGTTTAATTATTATTTGTATCAGAGCATTTTTCAATTGACTGTTGTAAAGCTGAAACTAAAGTAATCCTACAGCCAATCATAATGAGGTTTGCGTCATCATTAGCCAATGAGGAATCAAATAAAACCAGGCGGGAAAAAAACCGCGGGAAAAAGCACGGAAAAACGCGAGTGACCAAGTGGTGATTGGTTTTAGTTTTGCATCTGATTGGTGGAAAGATTGGCGTGAGTTTTCTGGACCAATAACAGACCGAATAAAGCAAATTCAAAAACAAAGAAATCTGATTACATTCGACTCTCAATTGAAATTACTCTCTTGATAATAGCGTCAAGCTACGAGTGAAAATGAGTGTGTGACATCTCTGTACTCTCCTTAGAGAGTTATAACGTGAATCGTACTTCTTGAAACATTTCGACACTTTTCATTCCTTTTTTTTTTCGCAAAAATTCACATGCACGGGTAAAAGTAATTAACAACTCGCGTTCGGTTTAAATTTTCATCTTTTTTTGTTGAAAATGATACACGAGTTTTTTTACACCAATCACATCACAGTGCCTAGTGGAGCGCTTTTCGATTGAGTGTCGATAAAACAAGACCGTAGCGTCATTTACGGCCAATCAAAAAATAGGAAAATATCACGAGCAGCCAATGAGAACTCAAATTGAAAAACTCAAAGGGCGGGAAAACTTTAGTGACCATGTCGAGGTTGGTTTTAATTTTGAATCTGATTGGTTAAGAAAACGGTGCGAGGTGTGTGAACAAATCACATAGCGAAGTAAACAAAACCAAGGAAATTGCTCTAAAGCGAAGCCTATGTAATCCTGGGTCACTTTTCGGCATACTGAAAGATGAAAATTTATTTTTTTTCTTTTCCTTTAGCTTAACCCGCCAATCATGTCTCTGGTCTCTCAACGACTGGGTCTTGGTCGCTCTCTCTTAGTACGTCTCCATGAGCTGTATCCATCAATGTCACGATGGAAGGTCCGACTGCTTCAAAACTACAGAGCCTATGATGATATTGTGGACGTCCCATCTCATTTGTTTTACCAAGACACGCTTGTTGCTGAGTTGAAGCGCCCTCGTGACCTACCGTATTCTATCGTCTTCTATGGTGTACATGGACAGGAAGAAATCGCAGATGATCCGCCGTCTTTCCTAAACAGAGGAGAAGCGGCAGAGGTGGCTGATCGTGTGGAGGAATTGATTAATCAATGGCCAACTCCTTTCTGGGGAGAGGCTGACCCAGCGCGCATTTGTGTACTCTCTCCGTATCCAACACAGGTACCCCAGCAGCATATTTGTTATAAATCTAAAATGTTGTTGTCCCAAGTATCGCAGAATCTTCAATTGTATAGTACCGTGGTCGTCTAGTTGAGGGTAAAGTCCTTTAGAGGGTGGTGCAAGATAAAGATCATTTGGTTCTATCATTTTGGTTGATAATTAACAAATGGTAAACACCACAGCGTACACTATTGAGTTATGGATGCACGCGGGGGGTTGCTAAGCACGAAAGAAACGTATCGCCTCGAGCGACTCTAGCTTCTTGAGTGCTTAGCAAACCTCCCAAGTGCATCCATAACTCAATAGTGTACGCTGTGGTGTTTACCATTTGTTTTATGACATAACAGTGATACATTGTAGCTAAAGAGTTCCCTTTTATTTAACAAATCTTACGTGACCTGAAAAAAACAAGCGCGCGCGGGAAAATAGTCTTTGCATTTCCTCACGTCAGCAGCGTACACCCATGGGAAAATGGGGGAGGCTAAATTGACCAATCAGAGCGCGCGCTTTACTTTGGTTATGTTATAATGTAAATTGGCCACCGTAGAGTCTCTTAAGCTGATGAGTTGATCGGTAGCACCTTGTCAGAGCGACTAAGGGGTAACGTTCGAAACGTCAGTTTGAGAATCTCTGTACGGTGGCCAATTTATACTATCAACACAGTTGATAAAACAAATTATTAGTTGAGGCTATAGTCCTGTAAAGGACCGTTATCATCGACCAAATACATCATGACCTGTTCCTATGGAGCAGGTTGACCTGCGATGTGGTGTGCAAAGGTTCTGGCAATAAAACATGCCAAAATCCTCACAGACCTTTCGCACGCAAATTGAGTGTCTAAAGTAAACTTAAATGTATTGGTCGTTTGCCTAACTTTGACTTGTGATTGGTCTAGAAAACTTGCGCCACCTTCCAACCAATCAGATGCAAAACTAAAACCAATTAAGGTTTTGATAAATGCGTTTTCGAGCGTTTCCAGTAACTTGCAGTTAATCCTTTACCCCGTACCCGTTGTGATTACGGTTCGTAGTTTTTCGACAATAAAATGTAAAACTGCTCTACACCCCTTACACCCAAATATCAGTATGTGCATTCTTTCCATACTGTCTTCTATACATTGCCTAAGGCGCTAACAAGGAGAATTTGTTTAACAATCAAGAGCTACTTTTGTTGGTGACCATTTCAGTGTCAATGCCTTTCTTGAACGTGTTTCATCTCTTAAGCAGCAAGGGAAACGATTTTTCAAATACCGCCGGAGCACACTAGTTCTTCAGCGAAAAAAAGATATATGTGGTGCTTTTTTTGTTTTATTTTGTAGGTGAGAGAAATCAGAAGACTCCTGCGAGCCAAATCCTTGAGCGGCGTTAAAGTGGAGGGAGTAACTAATGTGCAAGGTAAAAACCTCCTGTAATATACGAATTGATTACAGATAAACCTAATGAATGATCTTTCTCTCCCACGAGTTTTCTGTACCGATGTTGATAAAGCAATTGATCACGGAAATGATACTGACTGGCTGCCCTTGTTATGATAAACTACGACTACATAGAGTAATTCTCAATGGAGTGTCGAAAGTAAATCGGTATTGCTTGGTTTTTATTTACTTCGTTCTGTGATTGGTCCAGAAAACTTACGTATAGACCAATTAGATTCAAAGCTAAAACCAATCCCAACTTGGTCACCCGCGTTTTCCCGCGCTTTCGGCAGTGTGAAGAGTAATTCGGGATTGCTTGGTTTTTATTTACTTCGCACTGTGATTGGTCCAGAAAACTTGCGTATAGACCAATTAGATTCAAAGCTAAAACCAATCGCAAGTTGGTCACCCGCGTTTTCCCGCGCTTGCGGCAGTGTGGGGAGTAATTCGGGATTGCTTTGGTTTTTCTTTCCTTCGCACTGTGATTGGTCCAGAAAACTTGCGTATAGACCAATGAGATTCAAAGCTAAAACCAATCTCAACTTGGTCACCCGCGTTTTCCCGCGCTTTCGGCAGTGTGGGGACTAATTCAGGATTGCTTGGTTTTTATTTACTTCACACTGTGATTGGTCCAGAAAACTTGCGTATAGACCAATTAGATTCAAAGCTAAAACCAATCCCAACTTTGTCACCCGCGTTTTCCCGCGCTTTCGGCAGTGTGGGAAGTAATTCGGGAATGCTTGGTTTTAATTTACTTCGCACTGTGATTGGTCCAGAAAACTTTCGAATAGACCAATTAGATTCAAAGCTAAAACCAATCCAAACTTGGTCACTCGCGTTTTCCCGCGCTTTTTGCAGTTTGCTTGTTTGTACTTTGAGGTCTGATTGGCTTCTTATAATATCTTGCTTTGCTCTGATTCGCTCTTGTGATTACACTGGTTTTGATTGTACGACACTCAATCAAAATGCAGTCTATTCTAGAGCTCTTTTGGTATGAATAAATGTCTAATAGCCTATCACTATAGTACTCGTTGAGAAATTTCTACTCTAGTAAACAATCAAAACTGCTAGAATGACCTCGAAGTAGCCTCATGATTGCTGTAAGCGTAATTGCTGACTGATACAAGGAAGTTTTTATTTCCTCTACAGGGTTGGAGTTTGACATATTATTCATTAGCACAGTGAGAACCCACGATGCCTCTACTGCAGATGACAGCAGCAAAAAGAACATGGGGTTCTTGTCTGATCGCAAGCTACTGAATACCGCCATCACTCGGGCACGGTATCGCCTTGTAATCATTGGGGACCCTGTGGCACTTTGCTCCACTGGGGAGTGCGGCGTGGTTTTCAGGATGATCCTTAATAGGTGTAATAGCAATAAAACCTTTCATTACCGCTTATCTTTTGACATGGTCATCAGGATGACGAAAGAAGCTAAGAGTGAAAGAGAGAACAAACCGGTGCAAAAGCAAGCCCCGACTGCCTCAAGTGTACCAATGAGAAACGGCCCGCGGTACATCCCAGCTGTCAACGCAGTCCCTCACATATCAGCCCCCGTTTTTCCAAGAGGACCCATGCCAGGAAACCACAGGAATGTCCCCTATATACAAGATGGTCCACCCTTTGGAATTTATGGTCCTTTTCCAGGAAGACCTCAGATTTTCATCCGTCCCCAAGGCCCATTTTTAATGCAAAGACCACCCGTCCCTGTACCCGTGCATTCTGTCCCCTTTGTTAGAAACCCCCCTCAGCAACATCTACCTAATGGTTTTGTGCCTCAGCCAGTGCTGCCACAGCAGATGAATCTACAACGTCAGTCAGCTCCCTGGGGTGTAACCCAACAAGCTGTACCACATAACCCTCGTGTTGAAGTGTTGTCAGCACAGAACGGAACTGAAAACATCCGTTCTGCTTCGCGTAGTTCAACACCTCCTTCTTCGTTCCATTTGCGCGATACAACCCCTAATGTACAGCGGGGTGAAACAATCAATCAGCCGAGCTTGACCTCAGGAGAACCCCCGATGGCACTTCTATCGTCGCTTCAATCTAGGTTGAAAGAAGTGCTGTCTGAAGAAAGAGATTTGTTGGATACGTTGAAAGCTTCCTCAAAATCTTCCACTTACTCTGACATTCAAGAAAACATTGATAGACAGATAAGTCTGAACGAGAAGGAAAGTGAAGTTCTTCAGAAGCGCATATCGCTTCATAGCGCCCTTAGCAGTCTCCTAGAAGGTGGGGAATCTGAAAGTAACCATAGTGACAATAGTGGATTTGACGCTATTGAGAGTTCTGTGGCACGACAGAACCCTGATGACTCGGATGGAATCTACACAGAAGAAGATTACGAAGATTCTGAGACAGAAGCTTGGTTCAGTGCACAACAGAAAGATCCCATCGTTCTGGATTACATCAAAGCGTTTGAAACTTTGACATCCAGAACTGACAATGATTCCGAAGAAAGAGCCATTTCTCCTCCAGTATCAACCAAAGACAGCTGTTCGCCTGTTTGCAGTGACAGTACCTCAACGTCTATTGGAGAGAGTCAGGAATCCTCATCCTTACATGGATGGATCTTACAGCCCAGTGAGAGTACAGTTTACATTGAAAAATACTCCATCAACGAAGAACACATGGAAAGGGAAGAGGCACAGTCCAGAGTAGCTTCAGGTGAACTTGAGGCTTGTGCTCTGCAAATTGATAACCGCAGTGACGGTAGCACCGCCACTGCTAAGGTTTGTGATCCAGACAGACCTGACATTCGCATCAACAGCCGCACTGACATAAACAGAGCTTTTAATGGAGATATGGTCGCTGTGGAGATCACCAACAAGGACCGAGATACAGGTGATCCTCAAGGTAAAGTTGTGGCGATTCTGAAGGAAATTCACCCCAGGAAAGTAGTTTGCCGTTTGGACAGCCAAGACAGGAATGTGATGACGCCCATTAACAGATGTAACTCCAAGTTTGTCATCTTGCAAAGCAGAGACCATCAAGGGCAGACTGGGGTGGCTGTTTTCGCGAGGAGAGATGAAAGAATCAGTGTGACAAGTTTTGTGACGGAAACGGAAGGGAAGTTGTTTCTGGTGCAGCTCATGAAATGGGGAGCAAGTTACCGCTACCCTCTTGGCTTCGTTGTACATTATTTCAAGGAAGGCGGTGATCCACACCTGTGCATCCCAGTGTTGCTCGCAGAACATGGCGTTCACAAACCACATGCGAAAAAAATCCAGAATGAAGCCAAGAAAGAGTTCCCTCCCAAATGGAGGATCCCCGAGACAGAGCGCTCAAAGCGGACGAATTTTGAAAATGTGTTCAGCATCGATCCCTCTTCTTGCGTTGAAGTCGACGACGCGATGAGTGTTTGTTGGAATCAGGACGGAACTTTCAAAATTGGCGTGCATATTGCAGATGTGTCTTTCTTTGTGACCAAGGATTCCACATTGGACAAGGCTGCCCTATCACATGGATCCTCTGTCTATGGTTCTAATGAGGCGTCCTACCACAATTCCATGCTGCCATCCTACGTCAGCAAACAGCTTTGCAGTTTAGTTCCTGGTGAAGAAAGGTTGGCAATTTCAGTTATCTTTCACCTAAATGAAGAAGGAGTAGAAGTTGTGCAACCTGAAATTCAGCGCAGTATCGTAACGTCTTGCTGTAAGCTAAGCTATGATCAGTGTCAAGATGTTCTTGACGGTAGGAAGGTCGACAACATCCCTGAACACGTTCAAAAGGGCGCTGGTATCCTGGGTCAACTTTCTTTTAAAATGTGGGCGCGAAGAGTGCGTCAAGGCTATGCGGCCTTAGAACACGTGGTCATTAAAACAGGCATGTTGTCTTCCCAAAAGATAGTAGAGGAGTTTATGCTCTGGACTAACCGTGCAGTTGCCGAACTACTGCTGCAAAGCCCTCTCGCCAAAACACTGGTACCATTGCGTCGACAGTTGGCCCCTAAGACCCATCTTTTGAGAGAGATTAACGACTTCTGTATCGAGAATGGTATGGAACCGAGGCAATACCTAGGTCTGCAATGCATAAGTGAAATTTCCGACCACGAAGCTCATCAGCGCAGCGAGGACTGTGTGACCATTGGCTTGAAGACGTGGGAGACCGTATCTGCAGCTTTAGATGAAAAAGATATCGGAAAGGTAACCATGGCAATACTGAAGCATGACAGCAAAGCTGGTGTTGGTAAAATTCTGAGTCGTTTAGCGTCCATCCAAGAACAAAGCGGCTACGTTGTGTCCTCCAGATTACCTCCTGAGCAGCAGCGCCATTTCGCTCTCAACGCGCCTTCATACACGCACTTCACGTCGCCAATAAGACGTTATATGGACATTGTTGTTCATCGTATTTTGCTGGCTGTTCTTGAAAATCACCACATGCCTTACACAGAGGAAGAAGTGAAGAGTATTTGTGAGACCTGTCAGATGATGTCGTCAAGGATTTTCATGTTTGAGAATCAACTGGCATCAGTGTCGAGGGCAGATATGATAAAGAGCGACTCCAAGTGGAGGCTTGCTAACGTAGACTGCCTTGCACCAGACTATATACTGTTAGGAGGGGATGAAATCGAGCATATTTCTTCTTTCAACCGCTGTGTCAGGATCCATGATTGCAAGCCGACACATCGGGAATGGCTGTCAGAGAAGGAAGAGTTGGTCCTTCGATGGAATATCTTAGAAATTAACGCAACAGGCCAAAGTGTAAGAACGGAGTGCAGCCAAGAGGATGTCCCCGATGATTTTTCATCTTCTACACAGCTGGAATCTTCCGCTGAAGTCGCGCGACAGCTTCTGGAGATGCCGAAAGAGCTTTGGTTTAAATTTCTTCAGGGATTTCGTTCTGAAGATCTCCATCAAATGAACCAACAGCGTCAAATGATCGATGCAAAGGCAGTGGTCCGCCTTGAGGAGAAACCGCTGAGTTCTAGTTGCAACAATGCTCCAGAAGAATCCACTCTAATAAATTCACGTGGCTGTCATCAAGATTTGAGCGCGCATACCAACTTCTACCAGAGAGGAAAAACCATTCCCGTCTATTTAGATGCTGAAGTACACCGTGGTCTCCCCCGGCCAAGCATCCTAGCGGTGAGATTTACCGAGTCGATCGTGTGCTGTTTGAGGCATCGCCGTCATCCTAATAAGTCCTTTGGAGTTCCACAGATGGTGCCGACCAAAGCAACGTACAGTGACGCAAAAGAATATCAGACAGTTCTGCTGCCACTGCTCCAGTGCGAAGCAGCCACATCCAGTGTCAATTCGGATTCAACTGGTCAAGTTATTCTTCAAAATGTTTCTGTTCAGTGGAATGGAAGTGAGTCAGTTCTTTCAAGTATTAGAATCTCTATCAGGTGAAACAGGAAGGTGTCGTTTGTATTGTCACGAGCATGGGGCAAATTAAAAACATCCCAGTCCCCTACGAGTTGAAGGAATCAAACCACAGTCTTGCAGGTTTCCCGGTCCGACGGGGGGAGGGGGGGGAGGGGAGGTGCTCGATTGTTCTATATCTCGTGGGGTACCCAGATTTTTCAGTAGTCGCACGCTCGTTAAAAGACGAAAAGCGTCAGTCTTTATTTTACATGCGAGCTCAAGAACTATCATCTGTCAAATTATCTGTTGTAGTAATCGTGGGAGATATTGAATTGAGACCATTGTTGTTTTTTCAAAGCTGAAACTTCGCGTTAGGGTTACCTTGCACTTCAATCTTTAACCCCTCTTTGCCCAAACATCAATATTTCACTTTCTTCATACTGTTCTTTATACAGACAGAGCTGAATAATGAAATGCTACGTCAGAGGGTGTGAGGTCAACAACGCGGGCTCAAGTGTCCTTGGTCTAAAATTCAGCGAAATTAGTGGAAAATAATAAGAGCTGACTTTTAAAACCGAGGAACTCTGTTTTCGTCGAAGGCACTTTCCTATTTCCAAAGGTTTTAAGGAGAAAATTAATTTTTGAAAATTTTTAGGTGGTGTACCAAGTTTTTGGAGGTTGTTCTGTAAAAGAAAAGCGGCAAGGAAAACGATGCCTCGAAGCAACAGAATAGGAAATCAACCATGCGAACGACTCAAAATCCGTGTTTCCGCGGCAAAACCTAGCGCATGCGTCTACGTTGTTCAGCCCTGTCCCTTATACATGTACATTTTTCAGGGTGCTGGGAAGGAGGGTTTGTTTGAAAATCAAGAGCTCTTCCAGCTAATGATCATCTTCTTTATTCTTGTGTGTGATTCAAGGGGGATTATGCGACGAGAAATAAGATGCTAGTAACTCATTAGAGTCTAAGGGTTGCGATGATTTTTCTACTTGTTCGCATCATTTCCCCATTCTTATTAAAAATTGACCGAGGCTTCTTTAGACTACCAAGAATTCCTTTCTTTCGATAAAAATCAAGAAAAAAATGATTCCAATAAATATGAACTAGAGCTCCAATTGAATTTTCATTTATTGCAGATGTCGGCGAGTTTACTCTTTCTAAGATCTTGTGTGTAGCTCGTGGACTTAATCTCTCTACTGGTGACTTCCTGTGTCTACGATGTCACGCTTTACCTTGTATAGTCCATTGTTGTGTCACGCAAGTCGACAGCCGCGATGAGACGGACGTGATTCAGATAGACTTAGTGGACCATCCAGATGGCTTCTCTGTTGATGACTTAAATCAGACTTCGTGGCTGTGTAGTATAGAAGTCATCGAACAAGGGCTCTCATTTCGTCGTATGATAAGCGCAGTTAAGCGCCTTGGCGAAGCCACCGAACTTATCAGAAGTGTTTTCTTGCGAAGGAACATTCCTAAATACCTCGCGCGGGCCCCAATGCTCAAGGGACAAAGAAAGGAAGACACAAAGACTACTCTACACCTCAACCCTGGACAGGAAGAAGCAGTGAAGAATGCTGTGAATTTTTCTTTCACCCTGATACAAGGACCGCCAGGTAAAAACACTCTTCTTAGTAACCAGCTTGTGCAGGAAGCGCTCAGCGAAAACTCAATGAAGGAGACGAGCGAAAGTGAACACGCGTAAAAAATTAATCATGTGCGTGACATATTCCTTGCGCGTGTCAGTCAAACCTATTCGCGCACGGTTTAACAGAGCTACTGCTAGATATGAATAAGTTTCACGATGATCAAGTAGCACTTCCTTTTAACATTTTTTCTTTTTCAAACCGTTCTCAACATTTAAAAATCGCCGGAGGAAACACTTACCATTTAAGTAAAGCTTTTGAACAGTACTTTTGCGTGACTCTATTTCTCACTGTCGCTGGAAAAATTCGTTTTGTACAAGTATTTAGATAAAAACAATACTCCTGTGTGGCGCTGTTTATATTGCCAAAGGAGGCGGTGCTGACCTTTCTAAATTCATCTCTTTTTTTACCTTTGTAGGAACCGGTAAGACCTACACTGGCGTAGAAGTTGCTTGTCAATTTGCTGCCCTGAACAGAAAAGAAGGAAATGGAGGACAGGTGTTATTCTGTGCTCCTTCAAATCATGCAGTGGATGTGGCGGCACGTAAGTTTTGTCAGCCATAACAGATAAATATGTTCGGTAGGGCGAGAGCGCATTTCGATTGATTGACGTAATATCAAAGTCAAAGTAATCACACTAGCCAATCAGGAGAAGGGAAATTACCAAAAGTAGCCAATAAGAACATAGGGTAAAAGTTTGAAGCGCGGGAAAACGATTGGGTGATTGAGAGACGGTTGGTGAACTTTTGATTCTGAGTTTTGAATTTTCTGGACCCACACAGAACGAGATAAATCTAAACTAAACCAAGACTGGATTTCTATTGACACGGTTGAAAATAGCTTTAGGTTATGATTATTAAAGAGTTATTCTTTAGAGATGTTATCTGAAGAGGCAGAGAGCTTATCTGAGAATGGGAGATGGACACGTAAACATCCAAGATATAATGACTAATTCCTCTCGACTGTCATGCCCTTCCTTTTGATTTAGACAAATTCTGGTATTTTGTAATTTATCTACAAAAATATCTGGATTTTAACAACAAATTAAACAATAGATAACACCCTTTAGCGGATAAGCTCGTTTACTCTCATAAACTGTTTCCAGAGAAGTTACATGTTTATCTCCGGGGGGATTTTTAGGGGTGAACACTTGTGAGCCCGCGGTGCTGCGTTATTTTGGCGGGCGAACGCTCACAATATTTTTGGAAATATGTGACCTCCATTTCGAATTTCCCAAAGCAGAGGAAGAATGGGGATAGAAGGTATTTTTTAACTCGCCTCTTCCTGGTCCACGGTATCAAACATGGCGGTTCGGCATTCCGTAGGTAGTTGCCAACGTGAATCTGTGCTTGTTAAAAAGACGCTTGTACCGCTGGCTAGATTTGACTATGCTTTTTCTGTTTGCCAGGGATACTCCAGACCACAGGACTGAAAGTGTTACGGATATATGGTAAAACGATCGAGCACCAAACTTTTAAACAGTCACTGAGGACAAACTTGCCCTCAGTACAAAGTGTTATGGATAAGAATTGCGAAGATATATCTTTGCATTTTCGTGTCCGTAAGCGGAGTAATCCGCATTCGTCCAAGCTTAAATCTATTGAAGATGAAGTCATGCAGCTGAAAAAGAGGGCCATAGCGAAAGATCTGGCCAAAAATCAGGAGAGAAACACAAAGGATTTGTGTCTGAAAGTACAAGAGTTCTACCATGTATTAGATAAAGCAGAGCGACACGAAATTGCAGAGACTGGAACGGAAGTAATTCTGTGCACGTGCATCGAGGCTGGGAGCTCACGTGTGAAGCGTCACGCACGTGTCTGTCAGGTCATCATAGACGAGGCCAGCATGTGCCTTGAGCCAGAAAGCTTAGTAGCTCTAAATTCTGCTGGTCAGCCGCTGAAGCAAGTGGTGTTGCTTGGAGACCACAAGCAGTTGGGTGCTGTGATAATGAGTTCTGTCCCGCGTAAGCTTGGTCTTGGCAAATCTTTGTTTGACGTACTCTTTAATGTCCCGAATGCAGGCCAAACCTTCTCCTTGTGCAAGTTACAGACGCAGTATAGAATGGTGAGTGTCATATTTCGTATTTCGTATAGCCTACAGTTCACAACACTAAAAGCTTTTGTGTAGTCGTTCCATATTATTCATATCATTCCATAACAAAGCCTTGGTTCCAAACCTAACCAATTGTTTTCGCCTTTGTTTTATTTTTATCAGTAAACTGTATATGCTTAATGAAGTATGAAGTTATAGGGAAATATTAACTCAGTATTATCTTCCCTCTGCGTTTATTTTTTACCTCAAAATATTGGAGCCTGGGCTCCCTGTGCCCCTCCCTTCGATCCGCCACTGAGTTTGCACTATTTCTGAGATCAATTTTTAACATAGGGTTGGAAAGGGTGTAGTCATTACTAGATGCTTGTATTTCAATGCATGGCCAACAAAGTGGACGGACGACGGATCGAAACAGACCAATCACGACCGACTTATTCCACTTGGGTCTTACAGCCAATAGCATCACGGCAAAACTGACCAATCATTTTACACGAACTGTACTAAGAACATTCTACTGACAACAACTATTCACTTGACTCTGATGATGACTTCCGCACAGGTTGTCGAAACGTCAGTCACTACCACCGACAACAGTCCTTCTCAGGACTACACTCACCTGGACGATCACACAAAGTGGACGGAATATTTATGTGTAGGACGTCATGATATCTTTGATCTTTCTCTCATCAGCATCCAAGTATTAGGGAGTTTCCTTCAAAACATTTTTATGAAGATCTCCTGAAAGATTCTCCACATCTAACCAAACCAAAACGTGTTTCCAAGGGACTGGTACAAAACTTCTGGCCGGGAGGATCAAATGTCCGCGTCGTCTTTTGTCATGTTGTGGGAACTGAGGAGAGTCCCCAAGACTACACGGGTCCTGAAGGCCGCGAGGAGTCTAAGCACAACCCGCAAGAAGTAAATGTAGTGGTAAGTGTTGTCAGTATGCATATGTAGTATACAGGGTAAGTGTAGGTATGCCTATCCTAAGGTAGTTACTGTTAGCTTCAGGGGAGACTTCCTCTGAACGGGACAGTATCTGTAAAAAATCCAATGACGAAAAAAGAGGCTAGAGTCGAAACTCCGTGGAAATATGTATTAACTTGTTGAATAACCAAAACATTCGGCTTAAATACAATTTTCAAACTGAGGGATAACAAATTGGTGTGAACGAAAACTAAAAGAAAAAAACAACAATCGACTAACTCCGTAAAGAAAAACAACCAAAAATACGTGCGAAATGTCCACGTCAGTTTCCAATGTCAAGGTTAAAGTTCTTTGACGTGATTGGTTGATTTGTAAAAATCACGCGCGACACGCGTGAATAAAAAATAGTACAAAGTGGGAGGGGAGGGGAGGAAGAGGAAATTTGCAGTTCAAAAACGAAAGAGATTTTCCACAGTATCGTTAGTGCGCACGTGAAATATAGAATGTGAGTGTAGGTCTATCCATTTAACAAATAGATTCTATGCTGTGTAGCGTTTGTTTGAGAAGTGGATTCCATGCTGCTGTTCGTCTGCTCAGTATCAGATCACAGATGACGTCAAAATGTGGCAAGAACAAAAAATTGCGCGAACCTCGTTCCCAGGGCCATTCTAAAAATTAGCGCGAGGTGACTATAGCGAGATATGACGCAATCCACGACCAGTCAAAGCCCATCTATCTATGTAATCGCCTGAACAATTTTACTAATTAACAAATGGTAAACACCACAGCGTACACTATTGAGTTATGGATGCACGCGGGAGGTTGCTAGGCACGAAAGAAGCGTAAGAGTCGTTCGAGACGATAGCCGAGAGCGACTCTAGCTTCTTGAGTGCTTAGCAAACCTCCCAAGTGCATCTATAACTCAATAGTGTACGCTGTGGTGTTTACCATTTGTTTTATAATATAACATTGATACATTGTAGCTAAAGAGTTCCCTTTTATTTAACAAATCTTACGTGACCAGAAAAAACAAGCGCGCGCGAAAAAATAGCATTTGCTCACGTCAGCAGCGTACCCCCATGTGCAAAGGGGGACGCTAAATTGACCAATCAGAGCGCGCACTTTACTTTGGTTATGTTTAACAATTGGTTCATGCTTTAGCGTGCACTATCGAGTTATGGAGCACGCGGGAAGTTTGGAGAGCACGAACGAAGCGTAAGAGTTGCCCGAGGCGATAGCCGAGGGCAATTCTAGCTTCTTGAGTGCTCTCCAAACTTCCCACGTGCTC